TTTATGTAGAAGTGATCTTTCTCTGATTATTTATGTTATGAAGCGACTGCCGTTCTCTTTCACGTATATATACGCCACTATTTACTCTGTCAGTACTTGCTAAGGAAGTACTGCAGTGTAGTATATAGTATGTGCAGCTCTTACTGAGGGTATGATCTTTTTTTTCATGTATGATAAAAGTGCGTTCGTCATAATGACGAAAGTGTGATGTGACGAAAGTTCCATAATCCGATTGTAAGAGAGGGCGAAACTTGACATCCCTGAAAAGGCATGTAGAATATGACTTTTTTAGTGAACAAATATGGGATTCTATGTACTTTTTATGCTTTACACGACAAGAGTCTTGAAATTTTTTCGGCTGTTATGTCATGTAATGGTGGGCGGACGTAAATGGAAGTACCCAAGGTTGAAGTTTAGTCCTCTCTATCCTTCTCTATCGTCTAACACTGTGGAGCTAAGATGTCTGTAACTTTTATTGGTATCCGTCCCACGTGCTTTGGAGTATATCTACGTAGAGCTGCTTTAGCAAACTCATGAAGATTTTCCTTATTCTACTTCTACTTACCAGTTTACCATGTTTTTGTTTGAATGTTACTTTTGATTCAAAATAAAATCTAAATTTATTTAACAATAAATGTAGGAATGCATTTTCTAATGGAGCATCAGGTGTTTCCGTTGATAAAAATAGGTGTAAGTTTTGTGTAACCCAATATGATAAAGCTAATGTTGGATATTGACGACCGGATAAGCAACGAGTAGCCAAATAAAATGGAGCAAGAACAGTGGCTAGTGATTGTAATAATTCCCAATCGAGATGATTATTAGCCAATGATTTTAATTTCTTAATTTGTTTAGCTGTTAAACCAGTACGTGGTTGTGGTGTATATGTTATGTCATTTATTATCTGTTGAACTGCCAGTAAACGAGTGAGCATCAGATACGTTGAATTCAACGTACATGAAAATCTCTCACGAGTTCATTCACCTTGACCTTTTCATCATTACTGGAATCAGCAGCTGTGTCTAAATCAATTTGTTTTCGTTGTATTTCGTCACGAACAAACGAAGTTAAAATACTTGATTTATGAATCGTTGATATTAATGTACGTGTTCTTTTCAATAAGCAATAAATTTTTTTCTTCAATTCTTCAGTGTGTAATAATAAATTTTCTAATTCAGTTGTTATTCTACTTCTTGTACTTGACGTTCTTGTTGTGATGGTGTTAAACTTTCTTCTTCGTCAGTGCTACTGCTGATGATCGACAAAGTATCACTTTCATCTTCGTCGGCTGTTGATTGTTCTTGAGTCGCTGGAACATCCTCATCGGCTTCCGAACCATCACTGCTATCTTCAATACATTCATCTGACACTTGATCATTGTCAGCAATACGTATTTCATCCAATTCTTCATTAAAATCATTTACCGACGTGGTTGCTGTTGTGGGTGCAGCTGGTTTTTTCGTACTAAAAATAAAAACAGAAACGGAGAAAATTAAAAATGATGATTATTCAAGCATGAAAGAGATAGTGTGAGAAGAACCGAGCCCAAAAAAATAAATAAATTGGGACTACAGCGGTCTACGCGCAGAGAGTTTTACAAGTACAACAATCAGTTAGTTTAAAAAGTTAGGCGTCTAGACCATTGGTAACCTGATTATATTCAGTTCAACATTTTTTCTATTTGTTTTATATATTTTGAATGGATGTTAAATCTTTTTTAGGATTTTTAAATTAATTTATTTTTTATTTCAATAAATTTATTATTCAATAAGTTTTTATTCATTTTTATACATATTACATGTGTTAAAAAGATTATCAGGTATTTACCATGACTCGATACAGGATTATACATGGGGTGCCCCGTATGTTAGAAATTATAGAGGGGTAAATATTTTAAGTCGATACCAGTTTATAGAATTATTTTATTATAATTTGGATCTATTATTATTATTACTGCTTATAATTTTTATATTAATAGATTACCATTATTGTGTATAGAATATTTTATGGAAGATTAAATTATATTTAATATTATTTATAATGTAATTATTTTTTATAGTATATAATTCAATAGTATTTAATAAAATTATATTATAACTATAATAATAATTTATTTAAAAAATATAAAGTTATGTTGGTCGTATGTTAGGCGACGTCTTATAATGAAAGAAAATGTAACAGAAAATTTGAGAATAATTGCAAGTGATGAAGTTATGAAAAGCTTCTTTCGTAAGAAAAACTTCAGGCGAGAGCTGCTTTTTCGTTTAAAACCCGTGAAAACTTGAATGCTCAAGATTTCAGACCTTTTCTTCGGCAGAGATGGATAATTGTTTACCTTTTTGATTTCGAAATTTTCCATAGATCCAAACCAGTTGATATTGTTAAATTAATATTGTGGCCGTCACACGAATATCGTGTTCCACATTGAAATACTGATACAGCAGTTTTAATATCACTTCCACTGTCAACTGTAACAGATACAATTTCCATTTGAATGTTTAACTTATCAATTTCTTTAATAATAAATGATCCCAAACGTTCAACTAAATGCCGGCCACGGAAACGACGAAACGAAATAATGACTGATGAATACTGAAAATGTTCATTATAATAATGAGCTGTAATCGCCAAGAAATGTGTTCGACGAGAATTTACCCATAAATCAGTTGTTAATGCTATGAATAGAACAGTTTTGAGTGTTTGTCATAATGATGAACGATGTTGTTGATATAATTTATGTACAGTTTTACGAACTGTTTGTCGTGATGGACCACGATAACCAGGCACGAGTGTTGCAAGAAATCCTTGCATTCCAGAACGTTGAAAAATTCCGAAGGCGAGGCCATCATCGACGATACACTGAATGGCTGCTGCATCAAATTCTTGTTTAACTTGGTGTGTTATTATTGTTGGTTTTCTTTGGTGACGTTCTCTTTGTTTCAGCTGAGATGGAAGTAAATATTGATGCATTCCGTGTTGAAAATCAAGATGACTACGTGGATTGGAGTCTGAATATGTATCAGATTTGTATTCCTAAATGAGGAGAGCGAAAAAGATATTCTATAGAGCAGAAGCGAAAAAAATTGGATGAAAACTTAAGGAAGATCTTGCCCGATTGAGCATTTTTCTCTTAGGCGTTTAACCGACAAAAAATTTTTCTCGAAATTATGTTCACTCGGTTCTACGTTCTACGGTTAGAAAATGTAATTATGAAAAAACTTTCAGGTCTCTACAAATTAATTTGACCAAGTTATGAATTTTTGAGAAAAAGGACTACGTAAAAGTCAGAAAATAGTATCATCTTTAATATTTTCATTATTTGAACTAAATGACGTTTTAAAATTCTGGTTGACATATCACTAGAAAGAGCGACAAAAACTACATAAGATAGCTCATTCTGTTTTCTGAAGTCATAAAACTTTGTCAGACGTTATTTAGCTCTTTTTTGGGAAAATTCGTAACTCGGTCAAATAAGCTTGTAGAGACCTCATAATCTTTCACAACCAGATTTTTGGGCATAGAATTGAATAAAATTTTTTGCTCATATTTATCCTGTTGTTGTGGACTTGAATTCTGGATGCCATCAGTAGCAGCATCCATTTCATCGTCCGTATTAATATGCAACTCAACATTTGTTCCTTTCTTCTTTGTTGTTGATTGTGTTGTTCTTGTTGCTGTACTATTACCACCACCATGAGAAATACGTGTTTTGGAAACTTCTCCTCCCCGTGTACTTGAAGCACGTCCTGGACTGGAAACTGTTCTTGAACTGATTCTCGATGAGCTTCTTCGAGCTAGTATTGGTGTACTATGACGACTAGACGATAGCGGTGGTTATTTCGACGATGATGGTTGGTCATTGCTGTTGTTATTATTCATGTTGTAGTTTGAGTGAAATAGATAGCTGCTCTTTTGATGAATACAGTAGATATGTGGCTCAGATCACACACTCTAAAAACAAGACAATTAAAACAATTAAAACAAAGACGAAGCGGAGGGTGGGACATATGAATTTTTGGGGACTTTAGTATTCTTCAGCCATGCATCTTTAAGGTTTCTAAAAAGAGAAAAAGACAATTAAAACAAAAACGAAGCGGAGGGTGGGACATATGACTTTTTGGGGACTTTAGTATTCTTCAGCCATGCATCTTTAAGGTTTCTAAAAAGAGAAAAAGTTCTCCATAAACCAACTGAACAAAAATGAAAAAAACAGGTCGTCGATATCGTAGAAAAGAAGCATTTGTAGAGCAAAAACCTTGCTGAATATGCATCTTCCAAATATGTTTTAGATGAGATTTTTAATTTCAAGTCATTTAGCTTGAAACCGGAATGAAAACCTTTTCCACTGACTGCCGGCTGATAGAGAAGAATGTTTTTTTGCCTGAACTTCTTGCAGAGGAGAAAATTTTATCTGCACTCACTGCATGGAAAGATGTTTTTGTACTTGAGAAAAAAAGAGAGAGGAGACCAAGAGAATATTGATAACACTGAAGATCAGAACGATCTCTTTAGCGAAAAGAAATTAACTAGCAGTTGTTTTTGTATGTCTACTACACATTTTAGGATGAAGGAGAGAAACGTTTTATCCGTAATCGCTTATATTATTTTCCTGCAGGGTTACACTGGTGATCTATTATGAGAAAGTTTTAGGGACTTTTCGAGATTTCTGGAAAACTGGTTTTCCAGACAACCGCTTTAGAAAGGTCTAACGATCCGCCTCATACGGATGTTCGGAAACAGAGTGGTCGTGTAACTGGCTTTCCCCATTCTCATAATGGTTACCTTTCAGTGTTTAATACGCTTCTCTGTTAATGTCATCACCTGTGAGAACAGACTCTCGGTTTTCCACATTGAATCGCACGTAGATGTTGAACGAAAGTCGGAAGAGATCGCACTTTTTGAAGTACAAACCTGGTTCTGTACACAAACACGTTCTGGTTGATTTCTGACACAATGTTGAGAGTAGCGCTATGTCATATTAAAGAGAGTATTGTGCACTCCGAACCACGCTTATAAAAAAGGTTTAAGTTTGTGACTATAACGATAATAAAAAGAGAAAAATATAGAACAAGAATAGTGAATCGTGACTGGTGATACAGTCTATAATTATCAGTGTGTAATACAGACTGATAGTGCCAGTAGGCAAAAATTGGTATAACTTGACTTAGGGTCCACCTGCAGGGGCGTCAGTGCAGAAGTTTTCACTTTCAACCACTTCCTATGCAGAACAAAGGATTTTTTTCTAACTCGCAAACTGCAACGCGGGTAAATTTTATTTTGCGCAGAGCTGAAAAATTATGCAGGTGATCAGCTCTGATACTCATGTGCATCGTTTCTTTTTCCTTCTCTTTTGCTCTTAGAACAGAAAAGAAAGAACAAAGGCGTACAATGTGAAAGAAGTCTAACAGTGGATAACTAACGGAAATGAAGATATCTCTGTTCTCACAAGATATATCCTGCGCGTACATTGCCGCACATTTGACTCCTATAGAAAGAAGAGAGCAGAAAGAATAAGAAGATTATTTTCTTATCCTTTTGTAACCGCATGGATATTGACACGTTAGACACAGTGAACAGAGTGTAAAAATGTATGACTTGTCTTGATAGACCTTTCTAGAACATATATAAATCAAGTAAACTTAAGTAAAACTGATATATGTCAACGCTCTGGGAATGTTTATTGGATGTTGTTCGTTAAACACACTATATGTTTGTTGCCGTTTTCATCTTCCTTCCTTTACGTTTCATACTTTCCATCGTCGTATCTAGGTACATTTTTTGTTCAGAAATGCTTCGCATACACATCATTCGTAGTTTTTTGTACTGATTCTGAATATTAAGTTAATTTTCAATAAAAAAAATTTTGAGCCGAAAAAATTAGATTTTACTTCAAACATCAAAGGTGTTTTGGAAGATCTGTAAGTCAATCTACGTTCGTTTGGGATAGTTTAGGCTAGTATTCTAGGTGTACCGTTAGTAGATGAAAATTTTGTGAAAATGTCATCGAATTTGAGATTCCGCTAAAGTCCGCGCATTCATTATACTGCATATGCCTTTTCGGAAAACACTTAGCAGGAAAAGAAAACTTCCTTTTTCTTTACCAGAACGCTCAGCGAAATTTTTTTATGAATCGATAGAGCAGAAGGTCTGGTTTTAGAATATGTAAGATTTTTTAATAAACTTAATCGGTTTCGAAAATAAGGCCTTATATTTTCCCACCATCCAGTTTTTTGCTAGAATTTTCCTGATATGTTTTTCGACTGACTGTGCACCTGGAACACAATCTTTTTGCCATCAGCCCCATATTTTAAACCAGATTTGTTACTATTTGACTCATAACAATTTGCTGTTCTTTTTGTCCTGTTTTTATTCTTTACTTTTCCGTTCAAATCATGAGCTGATTATTCCTCTTTCATTGTCCGCATAAGTGGTTTTAAGTCCTAATAAATTACCGAGACCAGCTGAGACTATCCTAGCTCGAAAAGAGAAGATTTAATAGAACAAGCGCAGCGAGTTCTGAGAAAAAACCCATAGCCGTAGACGGAGAATATCAACCAGAAAATCTTTATTTCTTTACTTCACCTTTATTATATAAAAATAAGTGATTCATTTATCTTTATTTTATAAAAGTAAGTGATTCATTTATCTTTATTGTATAAAGTAACGATAAATGATTCATTTATCTTTATTTTATAAAAATAAATTTTTTTTTTCCTTTATTTATATTTACTTTTTAAATATATATACGATAGAAAAGACAAGTTCTTGTTTTGAATATGGCACACTTTCTTTTCTCCATTGCTCTATATATATATATACATATCATTAGAGTGAAGTTATACTAGTTAAAGCTCGTTGTTTCATCACATA